CTTACACATAATTAACTAACTTTGTTGTAAATCTATATTATACATCTAATTGACATATTTTGTGCAGTTTTTGTGTCATACTTTCTTCCGCAGTTGGAACATAATGGACAGTTCGAACATTTCGGTAGACTGTGGTAGTATTTAAGTGGAAGATGTGGAATTTAATTACGGTAATGGTGATGATGATGATGATTCACGCTGGGTTCCTGTAATTGGGATGTGTTTTTCCTGTCTAAAGGAAGTTAAAATATATTATCAAGAGTATGCTTTAAAAAAGGGGTTTGGATGAAGGATCAGATCATCGAGAAAAGGATATAATGGGGAGCTCAACTACCTAATAATTTCATGTTCAAAAGAGGGGTCTAACATTTCAAAAAATTCTTGTACGTCAAATACCTTACCATCTAGAGCAAAAAATTGTCCCGCCAAGATTTGTATTAAATTGAAAGAAGATGGCTTGTGGTACATTACAAAATTCGAATCTAACCATTCTCATGAGACTAGTTCTACAAAGGCAAGATTGTTCAAGACTAGCAAGAAAATTAACTTACACGTGAGGAGAACAATCTAAATCAATGACGATGCATGAGTAAGGATCAAAAAGGATTTTCAATCGCTTGCAAGAGGGCATGCAAATATTCTATTTTGTGAAAAAGACGTGAGGAATTATGTTAACAAAGAATGACGTGCAATTAAAAAAGAAGGTAATGATAAGGCTTTGGTAATTATTATTTTTTTTGTAAAATGAGGGAACAATATACAAAATTCTTCTATGACATAGATTTGGATGATGACTTTCTTGTGAGGAATATATTTTGGGCTAATGGAGGAATATAACAGTTAAGTATTTTCTTCCAAACGAAAAATTGAAGTGGTTAGTCCTCTTTCCACATAGTAGATCAAAGCGGTTAGTCTTCAAGCTTCTAGATAAACTTCGTAAGATTTTATCACAGGCTGAAATCGCAAATCTTAAACCTTGAATACATGTATGCATAGTTGAAACGAGTATGAGCTTTTGCTTTAGCCTTGGGTTTTGCGACAACTTTACCTTTAGGCATTTACATCATTTTTTTACCAGAAGGGAAAAGATGAGAAGAGAGAGTCTTTGGTTTATCATTTTTTTTTCAAAATTAGATTCTTCATCAGAATCATAACCAATTCCTTTTGTTCTGTTTCTGCTTATGCCATAATAATTGAAGTCATTACGCTTCTATTTAGGATTCTAGCAAGAAATTTCTGGAAGGATTTGTCGTACTTCTTTATGACATTATCAGAACTTGTAGAGGCTTTTGAAATATTTTCCTTCTCAAGTTTCGAACTCTTGCTCAAAAGCATAAAGTTATTATTTTTTAAAATAAAGTTTTCCTTACTTAAATTTGAGAAATCTTTCTTAAGCTTACAATATGCTTTTTACTCAGATACATAAATCTTTTTTAGATCCTCGTATTTCCTCCGAAGCTTCTGATACTTATCCAGAACTTCTATTAAACTAGATTCAAGCTCAGAGCGAGAGAGTTCATCAAATACCTATTCTGAGTCTGATTCAGATTTTGATTCTGATAGATATTTCTTAGTAAGAGCTTCTGCGCATGCCATCAACGCCATATCATCTTAATTATCCTTAGAGTCATCTTCTAAGGATTTTGAATCATCTCAGGTATCCATCAGACCTTTCTTATTCCCTCTGAAGTCTTTCTTCATGAGTTTGTCTTTCTTCAGCTTGGGACAATCATTCTTATAATGACCTGACTCCTTGCACTCAAAGCAAATGACTTATTTGTTGGCTCAATCTTTCTTGGATCCAGAAGTGGACTAAAAAAGACCACATGTCCTTATTTGTCCTTTGAATCTACCTTGTTTTTTCTTCCAAAGTTAATTCACTCGTCTAGACAGAAGAGACAAATCTTCTTCTTCTTTAGATTCTTCTTCTTCTTGAAAAGCTCTTGTCTTTTCAAACTTTCCCAGGGACTTCAGAGCAACTAATTTGCTCTTTCTCTGGGGATCATCTTCAAACTTAATCTCATGACTTCTTAAAGAACTAACAAGTTCTTCAAGAGAAATGTTGTTTAAATCCTTTGATAACTTCAATGTAGTTGCCACAGGTCTCCATTTTTTAGGTAGAATTATGATGATCTTCTTCATATGATTAATAGTAGAATAACTTTTACCCAGGACCTTCATTCATGCAACAAGAGTCTGAAACCTTCAGCAAGATAGTTCTAGCTTTGTGATGATTTTTATAATCTTTCTTTTGTTGATCTGTCATCACTCTTCTTTATATTTTTTTGTCGCTAGCATCTATAGGATGTATGTAGTCATCAACTACCATATCCCATAGATCTACATCATGACCAAGAAAAAAACTTTATAATCTATCTTTCGAGTAAGCAAAGATTTCTCCATCAAAAATAAGAGGTTTAGCGTTATAATGATCGTTATCATTAACAACAGATGGATGAGGTGGAATAGCTTCCATTGTGTTTCACAAACTGGATCTTTATATGACACAGTTAAGTGTTTGATATGCAATCAATACCAGAATCAGAGCTCTGATTCCAATTGAAGATGACAAGAAACACAAAAAAATGGGGGTTTAAATTGGGTTTCTGAGATATAAAAAATTGTACCCAAAACACTCAAAGTAGAAACAAGAGTAAAATTAAATGAACACAATTATTTTTATACTGGTTCATTGTTAACAAATCTAATCTAGTCCATCCACCAAGGTGATTTTTCCTTATCAACAAGACTTAATCCACTATAATCAACTGATTACAGACACACAATGACTACCTGTCACCGTCTTCACGAGAATCCTGACTAAATCCTAGTCTTTCAAGTAATACAACCTTAAACAATGAGATACAAGAAACGTGTTTACAAAGTTGCTTCTAAGAAAGCAGATTACACAAAGTTTAAGTATAATTAAATATCACACAAAAACGAACAAAAGCTATATGCGTGCTTCTATTCACAATAATAATATGTTCAACAAAAGCATTGTGGTGTTGCGTGAACTACATAGTCTTTTGTGAATTAGCAGCTTCATTCATTCTTCCAAGACTCCTTTATATAGGCAATGAAAAGATCCGTTGAAGGATAGAATGAAAATCTTTACAAATGAGTTGTCACCTTGCATAATGGTCTGCAAAGGTGGGAGGCAAAATGGTACGATAGTACACTCCTTACTCCAAAAAATCAACATAGTGGAAAGAATATTTGATCTTGTACTGTGTACTATTTTTCTCACGTAAAACCTTTTGATCTTATCTTCTAATCTTCAGAGGCTTCTGAGTAAATGTTGTTGAAGCATGTTTATAAGGATCAAGAGTCTGGTTGAAAGAAACTTCAGAACCTTGTCTTCAGAGTCTTAACACAGTTCCTCAGAATATGGTCTTCAGAACATGTTCTTCAGAGTCTTGAGAGCTCGATAAACCTTCAGAGGCTCTTCTATCATAGTCACAATTAGAAGCTTTAGCAAAAACGTTCATCAGAACCATTGTCTAAGAGCATCCTAGAACTTGACGTAATCTTGTAAAACGCACATTTGTATCTCTTCAGAGGTAAATTGTGTTGAGCCCAGAATCTGATGACATCACACACCAAATCTTTAGAGTCAGAACATGTTGGAAAAATCTACACACTAGACAAAATCGTTAGGGTATAAAATTATTCTCTAAAAAACAATGTATTGTTATCATCAAAACTAAATGTTAGATGCAGAACCAAATCTTATTTTTACACGAGAGACGTTCTTGAAAACTAAGAAACCTTTAGATTTAAAAAGAGATGAGAGAGAAGAAATAACAAAGATGGTTAAAACACAATTTTCATTCACTTTCACAAATAACGTTATTTGATTTCAAGTGAATCACCAACCATTTTCCTTACAAAATGAGAGAGCACAACTTATTTATAGACTACTAACATATGTATCTAATGAATGAAAATTAAACAATTACATATAATATATATAATTATTACATACATGTTGAATGCTACAATATACATGAACAAACTTCGACAACATTACTCTCCAAATTTCGACTCCGTCAAAATCTCTAGTCTTCGACTTTGTCAAAAATCTACAACTACATCCAATGCTTTTGAGTTAGATCTAACTAGTTTCTAACAACAAAGCTTCAACATTGTCTGCCTAGACTCTACCAATTTTTCTTCATCACCTTGTACTTCTTTAATGGTGTTGTGTGGTATGACATAATCTGAAAGATTGCAAATAGAAATAAGATTGTTTGATAGATCATGAACGTGAAATACATCTTTTAATTTTAAAAATTGAAGATCAATGTCTCCACCACCATTAACCCGAGTACGAGATTCATCTGCAATAATATCATATACGGAATGTTGAAAGGAGAAATATTTTTTAAAAAATATTAAGAATCAAATGTTATGTGATGAGTGGCACCTGTGTTGGAATTTCCATATCATGCATTCTTCAGGATAATTGAGACCTAAGTGTGAAGGGTGTGTTGAACCTTCATTGCGGTTCACCCATAGTTATAATTGTGACACTTGGCTCGCCTTCATTGCAAGCTCCAACCTCTTTATTCTGTTGGATTTGAAGGAGAAAGTTTGGTCGCACATTACATAGAGTTATGACCTGCGTAATGTTTATAAGGCTTGATCAACCCCCTCGCTTTACAAGCAGAGGTGTTGTATGGAAGAGTTAAATCAAACTTTAATTTCAATACATTCCATATTGTAAAAATGGGTTTTTGATATATTTTTTTGACTTTGTTTAATGAATCTGAGACTAATAATACAAACTATTATTTATATTATTGATAGTAGTTATGTTTTAAACTAATTAATATGAGACAATAAGAAAAACATTAAAAGAAACTAAAATTAAAAGAAAAATAGAGAAAGGTGTTTATTAGTGATGAAATGAAACATCATACATGCTTAATAGATGAAGAGACACTGAAGTTAAATGGCTAGAAAGGACGACATTGGCTTGTAGTAATTCTTAACATTTATAATTCCTCATGATATATTCTTTCAACAACAGGAACATTCTGCTGATGTTTTAGAAGATGGCTAAAAGCCAATGATGCATGAAGTGCAGCTCCATAAGGGAGTCCATCTTCATTGATTTCGAGATAAGGCGAGTGTAACGACTGATCAAGTCGTTTATTTGAGGCATTCTGCATTCCCAGCATGAAGAAGTAGCCAGGTATGACCTCTTGATAGAATGAAAAGTCTTCAGCTACCATCAATGGGGCCATGGCACTATTAACTTTAGTCATGCCAAGCATATTCACTGCAACATTCATAAAATGTTCGTGCAAGTCGCCATTGTTTATAGTTGGAAGATAGAAAGGTTCCACTCCACCAAGAAACTCCACAGTTGCATTGCACCTATGCACAGCAGCTTGCCCAATGATAACCTGCATAATTGAATCATCTGTATCATACGACTCTCAATCATGTTGAATAACATTTTCAGTACATACCTCCTCAACCCGCTGTCTCAGCTGGTAGAAGCTCTGCTTAGTTAAGGCTCGGATGGTGCCACCAATTGTGACATAATCTGGAATGATGTTGTAAGCAATGCTTCCTTGAAACTTCGTAATCGTCACAACCTGTGCAAACATGTGTTATGTAGCGATGAAAAGAGCTATTCTATCACCTTCATAATCTGGAATAATATTTATGCTATCAGGGAAAATGGCAAAAATTACTTGGGAGTCTAGAGGATCAGCCTCGCGAGAAACAATGTGTTGTAAGCTAATAACCGCGTTGGAAGCTGCGACTACAGGGTCTATAGTCTGTTGAGGAATACCTGCATGACCTCCCTTTCCAATTATTTTTGCGTCAAAGTAGCCACTACCTGCCATTATTGGACCAGACGTAGAGGCCACTTCACCAATTGGTAATTTAGGATTAATATGCAATCCAAAAATAGCTGTAACATTTTCTAATACACCAGATTCTACCACTGTCTTAGCCCCTCTACTTGCTTCCTCTGCTGGTTGGAAAACAAGAACAACAGTTCCCTGAATTAAACAACAAAATAAAGAATTTATCAGTAATCCATGAGAGAATGAATGCTATATATGGTACAAATTAAAGATCTCACTTGTATATCATTTTCATGCTTTTTGAGAATCTTTGCAGCAGCAAGTAGCATGGCCACATGAGCATCATGACCACACGCATGCATCTTTCCAGCTACTTTACTCTTGTGCTCCCACTCCACCATTTCCTATGGTTCAAACATCACCATCATATATATATAATAGCAAAAGGCAAAAATTGAGAAAATGAAGAAATGAATGAACCTGCACAGGAAGAGCATCCATATCAGCTCTTAAAGCAACAAAAGGAGAGAGTCCAGTTCCTATGAAACCAATGACACCAGTGATTGCAACTGGATGTTTATAAGGTATATCCATTTTATCCAATTCTGATCTTATCAGTTTACTTGTTTCAAATTCTTGAAAACCCAATTCAGGATTCTCATGAATCTTTCTTCTAATACTGATCATCCAATCAAAAACCTCAGGACTCTTGGCAATGTCTAGAAAATTGTTAACTGAGGAATTGTCTGAGAAAATTGGTGTTGCAGCAAAGAAATGTAATATGAATATGATGATGCAAAAATGGAAAGTGAATTTGAAGGAAGAAGAAAACATGGTTTGTTTTGTTGTGTGTGTGGAAGTGTGAAGATTGGTGATTGAAGAAAGATGAAAGCAATGGTTCCAATGTTGTATGATTGGTTGCTTTAAATAATTGAATGTCTTCATCTCAAGTTTTTTTAATGGATAAATTGTACGACCGTCTATACACCTATCGTTAGAGATGACCGTCTGTACACTTACCGTTATAGAGATGCACAACCAAAAAAATATTTATATAAGACTCTTTGCAGCACCAAGTGTGATCTTTTTGGGAATCACAAATATCATTATTATCTTTTTGGGAATCACAAATATCATTATTATTATTATTATTATTATTATTATTATTATTATTATTATTATAAACAGCACTTTAAATGTACTTTTAAGACACATCTGAAGTATGGTTAATGAGTGTAAAAATGTGATTCATTTACTTAATCAAATAATAGTATTAATAGTATATATTTTTGTCGTTTGTCATATAAACGACCTCTCTTTTTCACTCTTGTAAATTTCTTTTTCAAAACCAACTTTATCAAAGATTCTGTTTTTAAAACTTGAGTTAATACTTAATAGACACTTTTTGGCGACCTTTGAAAAATTCCAATGTAAAAAAAATTAAGATTTCGTCCTTGCAATTTCAAAATTTTTTGAATTTAAACCTTCATTAAACAAGATCAACAAAATAAGTGACATGACATGTATATCTGGATTATTTAAGTCTTTTTCATTAAACTTTTTATACACGTGAATTTATTAAAAGACAAATCACCTAATTAGATTTAGTAACCCTTTGAACTTCTCCATCACCTTCTGCATCTTTCTGTGTTGAATCAAAAAATCCTGGAACATCTACTGCAAACGTGTTCGTTCATGGTGGAAGGAGGCGATTTCCACATTATCGTACTTTGCACGTGAAAAAAAGTTATCAATTGTGTCCGTTTGAAACTGTTAAAGATGAGAAGGTTAGTATTATATTCTCTGCATCTCCTTGTAGTGGTCCCATGTGTTGATAGTGGTCCCCTTTTAGTTATTTATAATGAGTCCGTAAACATTTTAGCTTTTCACTGTCTAGTTAAATTTATGCAGGAATGATGTTATTTAATGTCAATTTTCATCATGGTGGTAGTTTTTTCATGGACAAGTTCATGTTTTACAGGGGTGGGAATGAAACAATTGTAAATGACCAAGATTTTGATAGGTGGAGTTACTTTGAGGTTGTTAGTTTAGTTAGGGATTAGGAGTATGATGGGTCGAGACTTTGGAGGAAAACTCCAAGACTTGATGAAGGTTATGTTCACTTCCTCGATGACAAACAAGCTGAAAAGATTGCAACTCATTGCCTTGTTAATAATAAAGATGGCCAAATTTGGGTTGAACACCATGTTGAAGACATGGTCACTAAGGTTTCTACACCCAAATTTTGTGATCTAAGTCATGAAAGTGATGATAGTAGCAATGATGATAGTAATATGGAGTTGAATGGGCTTAGTTTTGGTGATAATGAAGAAGAAAGAACAACAATAACAGATGAAGGTTTTGGGAAACTGTTGAAAATTGTTGTGGACAAACCAACACATGATTAAAGGGTTGGGATAAATGGCAAGTCTCTCAAGTTCAAGTTAAGGGCTAACAAAGACAAGAAGAAGACTAGATCATCCAAAGTCAACATGTTTGTTCCTGCAAACCTATTGGGCTCAAGTTCAAGGAGGAATCCACCTAATATAGAAGTACAAGATGCAGAGTATCCAAGTGAATCATTGGGTAGTTTAGATCCCGATGATAGTGGCAATGAGAAGCAACCAAAGCACGAGAAATTTAGAGTGGAGTTGATGAACAAGGATTTACAATTCAAGCTGGGAATGAAGTTTAAGTCATTGAGTGAATTCAATGGTACTATTAGGGATTGGTCTGTTCTTAATGCACGGGAGATAAAGTTTGTTAAAAATGAGAGCTATAAGGTTAGGATAAAGTGTAGGGGCAAATGTGGTTTTTTAGCATTGTTTAGTAAAGTGGGTGTCAGACACACCTACCAATTAAAGACTTAGGTGGGGACACATACTTGTGCTACGGTATTAAATAACAAATCATCTAATTCCAAGTGGGTTTCTAAGCTAGTGGTGGAAAAAATAAAGACAGTGGGGAAGGTCAGAGTATCAAAGATAATATCTAAGATGTGGATGAAGTATTCAGTTGGTATCACAATGGGTAAGGCATGGATAGCTAAGTGCTTGGCTGATGAAGTAATTGAAGGACATGCCAAAAGACAGTATGCTATGTTGTGGAATTATATTGTAGAGTTAAAGAAATAACGTGCTGGAAACACTGTAAAAATTGATGTAGAAAGACCATTGCCAAATATTCCACCAAGATTTGGCAGGTTCTACTTCTGTTATGAAAGATGCAATAAAGGTTTTACTAAGGGATGCAGGCTCTTCGTTGGAGTAGATGGGTATCATCTTAAGACAATGTATTGTGGTTAACTGTTAGCGGCTATTTCTAGGGATTCAAATGACCAATATTATCCATTGGCTTTTGGTGTGGTGGAGACAGAAACTAAAGAAATCTGGAGATGGTTTCTTCAATTACTTATTGAAGATATTGGTCAAGAAAGGAAATATGTTTTTATTTCAGATCAACAAAAGGTTATTTCTTGTTATGTTTGGTTTCTTGTTATTTTTCTTGTTATGTTTCTTGCTATGTTTGGTTTCTTTTTATGTTTCTTGCTATGTTTCTTACTATGTTGATGGGGTTGTCAAAGCTACATACTTTTAAGCTTGGGAGAAGAAGATGACTGAGCTGAAGCAATTGGACAATAAAGCTTGGGATTATCTAATGGGAGTACCTACCAAATTATGGTGTAAGCATTCTTTCAGCTATTATCCTAAGTGTGATGTCTTAGGATATGGGTATAAGAAAATGTTCATGCTGTTTTTGGGAACTGGTAGGAATACCTTGTAAGCATGTTATTTCTGCAATGCATTATCAAAGCTTGAACCCTGAGTCATATGTTAATGCATGTTATTCAAGAGAAGCATATAAAATGTGTTATGAAAATAATGTTTCTCCTATTAATGGAATGGACATCTGGAAAACTGTTGACATTGAAGAAATGTTACCACCAAATTATAAGAAGGGTTTACGTAGGCCTAAGAAATTAAGGTTTAAAGAGCATGATGAAATAGGGTCAAGAATGAGGAGGTCGAGTGTGACTTATAGATGCACCAAGTATGATAAACTTGGTCATAATTCAAGGAAGCGCCAAAGCATTGAACAAGACCCAATCTTACCGTCATCATCGACATATGTAAAGATTTCCAAATCAATGCATCAGCTACCACATTTGCTTTACCCGGATGGTACTTCAAACCAAAATCATAATCCTTCAGAAGTCTCAATCATCTCCTTTGCCTCACATTCAATTCTTTCTGATCAAAGAAATACTTCAAACTCTTATGATCATTAAACATCTCAAATCTCGAACCAAACAAATAATGCCTCCAAAGCTTCGATACAAACACAACAACAACCAACTCTAAATCCTGCGTTAGATAATTCCTCTCATGCACTTTAAGTTACCTTGAAGCATAAGCTAAAACTTGTTGATGTTGCATTAACACACCTGCATCACAATAACGACAATGGTTCTGCCGAATTCGGCAAAATTAAAACATGAGCTGCTATCAGCCTTCTCAAAAGCTCTTGAAACTTTCTTCTCACTTTGCATCCAAAACAAAAGCTTGAACCTTTCTAGTCCACTGCATCAACGACAAAGATAACTTGAAAAATTCTTCAATAAATTTTCGATAATAATCTGCTAACCCAAGAAAACTTCTAATATCAAAAACGGGTTTTGGAGCTTCCTATTGCGATACAGCTTCAACCTTCGACATATAAACTACAATACCTCTACTCGAGATCACATGGCCAAGGAACCTCACTTCTTTCAACCAAAAATCACACTTAGAAAGTTTAGTATACAACTGCTTCTCTTTCAACACTGATAACACAATTTTCAGATGCTTACATGATCCTCTTTACTCTTCGAATATATGAAAATATCATCAATGAACACAACCACAAACTTGTTCAAATAAGGATGGAAAATCCTATTCATATACTCCATAAATACACATGATGCATTAGTCACACCAAATGGCATCACGAAATACTCATAACGTTCATACCTTATTTTAAAAGCAGTCTTCTGAATATCTTCAGCCTTCACACGAATCTGATGATACCTAGATCTCAAATCTATCTTATTGAATACACTTGAAATAACCAACCGATCCATCAAATCATCAATCCTTGGAAGTGGACGCTTATTCTTGATAGTCACCTTGTTCAATTGTCTATAATCCACACAAAGCCTCACAGAACCTTCTTTCTTCTTAACTAATAAAATCAGTGCCCCCACGGTGACACACTCGGACAAAAGAACCTTTCCTCAAGCAGATCTTCAAGTTGATTCTTCAAATTCTTCGATTCTGGTGTGGACATACGATATGGAGTCATCGCTACCAAACTAGTTCCAGGAACTAGGTCGACTGTAAACTCCACTTCACGTTCCGACGGTAAATCACTTATCTCATCAGGAAAAACTTCTCACAAATAATTAGTACACCACCATCTTCCCCATTTTATTAACACTCAAAGTTTCCATCAAAATAAACATCTCAGCACCATCCTGCACCGACTCACCAAAATAATCTGTAAGCACTTAGCTTAACTCAAAACAATTCACGGCACACGCCATTTAAGCTTGCAAGACACGTCTCATGAAGAATTGGGTTATTCACGGCACCATTATTGACAGAGACGGTGAGGAGAATTTTGAGAGAGAGGTGAATGTTGTGATGAGAAGATCATGTGTTGTTCCTTTAGGTTTACTAAAGTCATATAGGTTAGTATTCTCGTGAGACATTTTGGGCTTGTAAAGCCCATGGTTTTTAGGTTTCCGCCCCCATATTTGTTTTCCACCCCCCTGAAACCATAATGAAGGCCGTTATTTTTAATTTATTTTAGATCTCTTTTTCATGTTTGTTTTGGAATATTTTTTTGTGCTTTGATTGAAATAAATTGCATGACTTGTTGAAAGTAAGCTTTCTAAATCCTCCCACAATTTTACCTTAAGATGTTATGCCAACCCAACCTAAGGTGCATAACCATTAAAAACATTAAAGGTGTCTTGCTCCACTGCAAATTTTAAGACTATGATTCGATCTCTTACTCTTTTCACATTCACAGTATCCTTCTTCCAATCCTTGTCCATAATAATCCTTATCCCGTTTTTCGATCTAACTTTTTCGGTGTACCACAACTTAAGTCCTCCAGTTGTCCAATTCTTTCACATTTTCACCTGTCCGCTTAATTTCTTGTAGGCACATACAATTGATTTTCCTCCTAACCATAATGTTCACTATCTTCATAGATTTTTCAGTAAGCGTACTTATATTCCTTGATCCAAAATAAATCTTACTCTCATGAACTAACTTCTTTACTCACACTCGTTCACGAAAATAAATCTTTGCTCTTTTGACACTGTACTCGAGCCATACTGCACGTTGTTGTCGATAAACGACCTAATTATTTTGTAATTGATCAATATCATAAAAATTTCACACAATTTTACGTTATCTATCGACTGCCTAACACAATTTTTTTCATTTATCCAAATTTAAGATCGGCTATGTATAACAATGCTAAACTAGACAGGATTATGTGGAAGCTGAGTTTCGAAAATTAGAAGCTCTAGTACCATATTATTAAAAATAGGATTTTTAATAGAACAATATTACAAACTACTATTTACCGTTTAATATTTATATATCATGTCTAATATTTATATTATGGTAATGACAACTGAAATTGGAATTCACATGGAGAATGAACACAATTTGTGTGAAGACCAAGATGGTTGCAGTTTTGTTGGACTCTGATGGGTTAGTTGTAGTTTAGCATTATTTTACTATTTAATTATAATTTTCAAAAGTAGGTATTATCCTAGAGGTTCCATCTTGACTGCGAAAGTGGGATTTGCCCCAAATTATGTTTGGAGGATCATTCTGAACGCTATTGAATTGATAAAAGCAGGGACTAGATGGCGAATTGGAAATGGTGAAAGAAGATCATTCTTGCTGCTAGCAAGAAGGAAGAATTGTCCGTTGATCCTGCACTGCCGAGGCTCTTGCCATCCGATGGAGTCTGATGCTGACTCGTGATTTGCAGTTGGATCGTGTGCTGATACAGTCGGATGCAAAAGTTGTTGTGGAATGCATTAATAGTACCACAGTTGTTGCTGACTCTTGATTGTAGTATGCTGTTAAAACTTTTTAAAGATGCCTCTGTTATGTTCTTAGGTAGGAATCTCAATCTAGATGCTTACCATATGGTTGGTATTGGTAGAAGACTAGGATCCAAAACTTGGTTGAATGTTATCCCCAAGGTGATGTCAATCCCATTTGTAATGTTTCTGTTTGCTGTTAAATGAATTGCCTTAACTTCAAAAAAATTTTATAAATCTCTCAATAAGCATTTGAACATTAATTAAAAGAACAGTTGAAATATAGATGTGAATTGCCGACTAAGTCAATCTTTATAAAACATTCAAAACCATTCCAGGATCGAAACTGAAAATTAGGTAAAGTAATGGACCTTATGAAGAGAAGACTAATAATGAGTTTATTAACATTTATATTTCATCATGATATTTTTTCTCAACACCAGGTACATCATGCTGATGTTTTAGAAGATAACTGGCAGCTAATGATGCATGAAGTGCAGCTCCATATGGGAGTCCATCTTCATTGATTTCGAGATAAGGCGAGTGTAATGATGACTCAAACCGTTTATGAGAAGCATTCTTCACTCCAAGCATGAACAAGTAACCGGGAATGACCTCTTGATAGAATGCAAAATCTTCTGCTCCCATGGCTGGTGGCATGGCACTATGAACTTTATTGATACCAAGCATATTCACTGCAATATTCACAAAATGCTCATGCAAGTCACCATTGTTTACAGTTGGAGGATAGCTAGGTTTCACTTCATCAAGGAAGTCCACAGTCGCGTTGCACCTATGCACAGCAGCTTGTCCGACGATAATCTGCATAAAAGAACTAGTTTTAAAGTCTTGGTTTTACTTTTACCCTCTCATTCAAACTGAATTGGATGATTTTTATTGCATACCTGTTCAATCCTCACTCTCAGATAGTTGAAGCTTTGTTTAGAAAAAGCTCGGTAGGTGCCACCGATTGTGACATGATCTGGAATGACATTGAATGTACTACCTCCTTGGAACTTTGCAACCGTCACAACCTGTGGTAAGATACATTATATAAGGAACGATGTTCCTTGGGAACAAATTTATATCATAAACTGACACTTACCTGTGAGTCTAAAGGATCGGCTTCACGAGAAACAAGGTGTTGTAAGCTAATAATCACATTGGAAGCTGCCAAAATGGGATCTATAGAGAGTTGAGGAATAGCGGCATGGCCTCCTTTTCCACTTATTTTTGCTTCAAAGCGGCCACCACCTGCCAATATTGGACCAGACCTAGAGGCCACTTCTCCTACTGGTAGTTGAGGAACAATGTGCAGTCCAAAGATAGCAGTAACATTTTCTAAAACTCCAGATTCTACAATTTTCTTAGCCCCTCCATATGCTTCCTCTGCTGGTTGGAAAACAAGAACAACAGTTCCCTGAATTAAACAAAAATATAAAGAATTTATCAGTTATACATGAGAGAATGAAAACTACAATAACAAGACACAGTATAAATAAAGGAAACCAAAAAAAAAAAAGCCAGGTCAAAAGATGACACACCTGTATATCTTTTTCATGGTGTTTGAGAATCTTTGCAGCTCCAAGTAGCATGGTAGCATGAACATCATGACCACACGCATGCATCTTTCCAGCTACTTTACTTTTATGCTCCCACTCCACCTTTTCCTAAGGTTTACACAAGACATTAAAACAAATCAATCAATGTTATAGGCAAAATTTGAGAAAAAAACAAGCAAAATTACAAACTCAAGCAGCTGGATTCAAATGATCAATGAGCTTATGATTCTATAGAGTACTAGTGTTTGAAGATCCAAAAAATGAAGAAAAGAAAAGTCAACTATCTTTGCATCTATACTAAGATCGATAACAAGTTTAAGGGAAATGAAGAAATGAATGAACCTGCACAGGAAGAGCATCCATATCAGCTCTTAAAGCAACAAAAGGAGGCAATCCAGTTCCTATGAAACCAATGACACCAGTGATTGCAACTGGATGTTTATAAGGTATACCCATTTTGTCCAGTTCTGATCTGATGAGTTCACTTGTCTCAAATTCTTGAAAACCCAGTTCAGGATTCTCATGAATCTTCCTTCTGATACTGACCATCCAATCGAAAACCTCAGGACTCTTGGCAATGTCTAGAAAATTGTTGATTGAGGAATTATCTGTTGATGATGAGAAAATGGATGTTGCAGGACAGACATGTAAGATGAATATGGTGATGAAAAAATATTGGAAGCATTTGTGTTTGAAGGAAGAAGTAGAAGTCATGGTTTGTTTTGGTGTGTAGAATTATACTCTGAACCACATATGAATATAAATATTTGGATTTGAAAGGTTTACATTTTTTTTAATACATTCTAGAGTTTTAAAAAGTACAATGTGATGTGAGTGTCAAAAATAAAATATTTTCAAGATTTTTTTTTTTTGGAAAAGAGATCAGGTTTTTTTTTAAGATTTTAAGATTTTTTTTTATTTCCAAATGTTTATTGCATTTTTTTCAATAAAAAAAAAACTTTTTTATTTTCAATTTTTTTAAATTTCAAAAACAAAATCAAATTTTTTTCTCAAAATAAAAACTCTTTTTTTTTTGTTTTCCAAAACAAAATCTTAATTTTATTTTCTTTTTTTTTTAAAAAAATTTTGAATTCTTTTTAAAATACTTAATTTTTTATTTTTAAATGGTAATAGCTTAAATTATTTTTTATTTAAGTTTGATTAAGTGAATTTCGTCAACCAATCGTATTTTTTATAGTTCAATACAATTAAGTTTAAGAGTTTGTTTGATAAGACCAAAAAAAAAAAGTTTTTAGGTTATAGTTTTTAGCTTTTCAACTCATTTTAATTAAAAACTCTGTTTGTTAAGTGTCATTTAGTTATAATTTTTTAACTAATTTCTAACTTTGTTTTCAAGAACTATTTAAAATAGCTTTTGAGCTTGTAGCTTTTAGTTTATGATTTTTTATTTCCTTTATTTTATATATATATATATATATATATATATATATATATATATATATATATATATATATATATATATATATATATATATATATATATATATATATATATATATATATATATATATATATTATTAAAAGATTAATTTTAAAAGATTGAATTTTGGGAGATTTTGAAGAATATTATAGAAGATTTTTTCTATTTTTTTTACTTTATTAAACATTATTTTTATTTATTAAATATAAATTATATAATTAATTTAGAAATAGTATTTATAATTCTCAAGTTAGAAGAATCAATAAAATCAACAAAGGTGAAGAAAATTTAGAATATTATTATAGTTTTATTGTAAAATATTAGACAATAAACTTATTTTTGTTATTCTTTTAGATTAATATAACTAAATTCAAAATTACAATGTTATTATTTCATGTATTTTATTAAATTTTATTATAAAATTAAGCAAAAAATTATATTTTACGAAAAAATGAGTTAACTAGATCAAAAATTATAGTTATTAGAATTATTTTTACTTTTATATTCTAATAAATGACTTTATAAAATGCTCATACTTCGTGGATGGTTTACTGGTTTTTTTATTCATTGAATTTTATTATCAATATATTCATACTAAATAGTAAAGCTCATAAAATTTATATATAAATTTATATATTTCGAAGATATCTTTAATTTTTCATATATATTAATAATAAAATTATTTTGCATGTTGTTATTAATACATATATTTTTATCGAATAAAAATTGATTTAATAATATAATTTAATAAAATAATGAAATTAAAAAAATTTAATTAAAAATATTTTTTTAAGTTATTTTATAATTATCAACTAATATAACAGTTATTTTAAAATGAGAACAGACTCACGCAATTGAGACAATATGTTTTTACTAAATTATTCATTATCAAATATAAAAATTAATGAAAATAGTAATGATTAAATATTAGAATTGAAAAAAAATTTATATTATAAATTGAAATAAATTATTTATTTTAGAACTTTTTTTTTTATCTTTCTTGAAAAAGAATAATGTGAGTTCTCCTCCTCTTCTCCTTTATGGAAAAGTTTGATCTATGCTGATATCTCTCTAACTAGACAAAATTTATAACTTCTCTTCTCCTTTGTGGAAAAGTTTGATCTATGTTGATATCTCTTTAACTAGACAAAATCTACAATGTTTTTATTGTAAAAGTTAAGCTGACAAGAATGGAAAAGACTTGTACTCGGGAATAGAAAGAAAATAATAAACGTGAACAATTTAACATGTTTTTTATTAGTATATGGATTATGGAGACACCTATTTGTAAGTTATATTATTTTAAATATGATATATTTTTAAGTATCATAATATATAAAATAAATAATTTAACATGTTTTTAATTATACAAGTTTTAAAGTGTTACAAATAATGAATTTTTTTTAATATAACTAGTTTATTCAAAAAAATATACAAAATAAATAAATAAATTAAAAGAAATTACAAATCTGACAATATTTGTATCTTGGGTCGCCATTTGGATTGACGACTTGCCTCATTTAATTATTTTTTTTCTATTTAGGGTTTGCGCATATATGTCATTTAATTTTTATTTTTAATAATTAATTTCAATTTAAATTATATAAAAAAATAAATAGAATAAATATTAAATTATGTTTTTTATTTTTCGTAATTAATTGAAATTTAAATAATGTAAAAAAAAGAAATAGAATAAATATTAAATTAAGTTTTTTGTTCTTTATAATTAATTAAAATGTAAATAATAAAAAAAAATAGTAAATTATAGTTTATGTTTTTCATAATTAATTGAAATTTAAATAACCTTAAAAAATAAAAAAATGTAATAAATATTAAAATATATTAATTTACAATAGAATAAAAATTACAATTGATAAAAAAAAAACTAATGGTTGGCTCTATCCAAACGACCACCGGTGCCACATTGTGGAGGATGCGCGCAGTGACAAGGTCTACCACGAAGTTGTTGAGGTGTGTCCGGTCTTTGTGTGTTGAGTTGTGGAAGAGAGATTTGTTGGGACGGCCCCGGCGTATTAGATAAATTTTGAAGCATTTGACCCCAATAGTCAGAAGGTCCACTATAAACGACGCTTCCGTAGTTAAGCCCAACACCCATGTTTTCGTAGGATTATCGGAGAGGTTGGGTGGAGTATGGACGGTATGGTTGTTCGAATTCGTACATCGAATCGGGTTGGAAACGGTGTGTTAGTTGTCGTGGGGTTCGGTAGTCAAATAGTGGATAGTTGGAAGGGTAGGGTCAAATGAGTTATCTGGGCTATAGGTGGAGGGGGTAGGGTCAAAAGACGTATCAGGGCTATACTGGTATGGTTGTTGATGTTGTGATTGGGTGGGTGGCATGTACGGGTCATGGTAAGGCTGTTGTTGTTGATGTTGGGAATATGGTGGCATGTATGGGCTATGGTTGTTATGGATGTTGGGCATTGGATTGTTGTTGTGTGTTTGATGAAGAAGCGCGTTGCCTTGGTTCAATCAAATAGGTTGGCTCGGACAGAATTGACTGAGATGTTGTAACCGACCTAAACCAAGTCATATATTGATAACTTGGCCTAACCCCTTTCACAATATGGTCGGTTAAGATGTGTTGCCTTTTGTTCTTCCAATGCTGACACATCTCCTTCGCAAACTCCTTCCAATGACCGACACTCCAATGTGAGTCCACCCGTTGCTGATGCCACTACCCCAATGACGTCGGATCATCTGGAATATCCTGATGCATCCCAAATTGTAGTTTCACCCGGTCACTTTGGTGCATCTCCACCATAGTGAACCTAATGATGGGTGTTTTTGATGTCCACACAGCAACATCATCGACGTCGGGCTGGTGGTCAAGACCCTCGTACGATATCCAGACAAACTACAATAAAGGTAGATACATTTAGTTAGACAAAGATAGACAAGTTTATGCATATAAGTTAGACAAAGTAAAGGTAGATAACTTACATCATTTGGCTCAATGTGGTCGATGAGATTCCGGTACACAATTATGGAGTTCCTGGAACATCTTTGATAATTCATCCCTGGAATAGACCACCTAAAAAAAAGAAACACAGATAAGTTAGATTCTAAGACACATCTTACAAATTATTAACTTACAAAGAAACTTTGGTTGTTAAATAGTCTTTAAAAGAAACTTACTTGTTGGCGTCCGGGAATGTAAACAGATTCTGGTTTACTAGAGCAAGCGTTGGCATCCTAGACCAATCCCCACAGAGGTCAACCCTCGTGGACGATGGTTATTTCTATTATCTTTCTGTGCTAGGATAAGATAATCCCCATTTGAGTTCATTTCCTCGATGGAATCTTGTTTGTCAGTTCTTTCTAGCCCAATTCTAGATCGAACTTTTGTCCCGTCAGTCTCCGAACATACCTGGACGTGCATTTATTTTGCGCTATCTTTCAAGAAAAGCCTTTACAACGTCGATAAGCGACAATTCTCACCAAAGAAGCCTGTCATCATCATCATTTTACAATTTATCATCAGACTCTACAATTGATCTTCTCGTACAAGAAGCTCAATTTACATTACAACTTTCATTACAACCTTAATTACAATTTTCATTACAACCTTCATTACAATTTTCATTACAACCTTCATTACAACCTTCATTACAATTTACCTTACAATTTTCATTACAACCTTCATTACAATTTACATTACAACTATCATTACAACCTTCATTACAATTTACATTACCTGTTACCACCTCTACAAGCAGTTCTCACCCGAGAAGCCTATCAATAAGCGGTATTTCTCGCCTGAGGAGCTTATCTTATCTTCGTTATGACTTGCAGCAAATGGCCATCTCTATTGGGGAGGTTTGAACTAAATCATGTTCAGGAGAGCACGATCTTGAATTATGAAGAAATTCATTTTATCCTTTAGTAAAAGAAGGAGTTGAATCATATTCAGAAGAGCACGATCTTGAATTATGAAGAAGTTCATTTTATCCTTTAGTAAAAGAAGGAGTTGAATCATGATTCGGGTGCCGACCTTGAAGTATGAAGAAGTTCATTTTATGCTTTAGTAAAAGAAGAATCTGAATCGTATTTCGGGCGCCGACCTTAGATATGAAGAGGTTTATTTACCAGATGAGTGACAATCCCTCCAACGGAGCTCATCAATCAATTTTTCATCTATTATTCACGGATAGGCAATAATATCTTTATTTGAGAGCTTATCTAGTTTGGCATATAAGTCCCTTCCAACGATATTAGTTTGGTAAACGCATGACAATCGCCACAAACTCGAAGGTTTTTAATAATTCTTATAGCTAAACTCGAAGGGGACACTATAAGAGCAAATGCTATGGCTAGCCTTTCACTATGGTAAGAAAGTACACCTTCCTTATCTTCCTCTTCTACATCAAACAAAACCTCTGATGTTCTCGCATTGTGACCGTATTCTTGTAGTTTTCTATTAATCTCCGCGATCTTCAAATATATTTCTTTTGAAAACGGATGAGTTTTGTCACCGGTAAGAAACTCGTGCATGGCACCATTTATCTCCACTAGGCTAAAACCCGGCAACTTGTTAACACCGTGATGTTTCATCAACATCCTCACTCTCTTGACATCATTCCACCTAGCAAAACTAGCGTACATATTCGACAAAAGAACATAGTTTCCGCTAGTTTCTGGTTCCAACTCTATTAACTTTCTGAGAGAAACTTCTCCCATATCTAAATTCCCATGAAGTCTTGCTGCACCAAGTAAAGACCTCCAAATTACCGCGTTTGGTTTCATTGGCATATCTCGTAACCAATCCTCCGCTTCCTTTAACCGCCCAGCTCGACCCAAAAGATCAATCAGACATCCGTAGTGCTCGAGTTTTGGTTCCACCCCATGAACCTCCTTCATGGACTTGAAAAGCTTCAACCCTTCTTCCACTAATCCAATCCACTAATCCAACATGAGAGCAAGCAAACATGGTAACCACAAACGTCCCATCATCCGGAACTAAACCCTTTAATTTCATCTTCCTATAAAGCTCAAGCGCTTGATTCCCGTAACCATGAATAGCAAAACCCCCAATCATTGCATTATAACAAAACGTATCCCTATCTCTATCAGCCATTTTATCAAACACCTGACATGCAAGATTCAAACACCCGCATTTCGAATACATATCAACCAATGCAGTTCCAACAAACCTATTCACCATAAGCTTATTCCTTAACACAAAACAATGAACCCAAAAACCATGACTAAGAGCACCTAAACTAGAACATACACTAATCAATGCAACAATTGTAACTTCACTAGCTCTTACTTTAGTCACTTGCATATCATGAAATAAACACAAAGCTTCCCACGAAAATTCAGCATCACCAAAACTATTTGCATAAGCACCCAAAATAATATTCCAAGTAGCCAAATCAGGTTGATCAATTTGATCAAAAAGATATCTAGAAACACACAATTTCCCATATTTAGCATAGAAATTAAGCAAAGAGCCTTGAACAAAAAGATCATAGGGTGGTTGAAGAAACTTCAAAACATGTGTATGAAGTAATAACCATATTGAAACCATGATGGGTTAGAACAACAACCTTTGAAAAGAGAAGGAAAAGTGAAACTATTGGGTTTAAGATTTTTGTGTGTGATGATTTTATTATAAAGTGAAAATGCTAAATAGATTTTATTTTGACTATTTTGATGATTAATTAATGATGAAATGAGAGTATTGTAGAGGAAAATTGTTGGGTTTGGGATATAATTGAAGATGGTTAAAGCATAGGATAAATTAAATTTAGAGGAAATGTTAATGAGGTGACTAAGGCAATATGTTTGAAGTGAAAGACCAGTTGTTATGATTTGGGCATGGATTTGTTTAAGGCTGTTGAGGTTGTTGCATTTTTGTTGCAATGTTTGGAGTGTTGGGTGGTTAAATATGTGGTTTTTAGGTTTCATGAAATGACAAATTTTCCGGCGATAGCTCCCGGCGATGAGTTTTGAAGACGGTGGTGGGAGGAGGAGATGGTGGTGTTACCAATAATATTTTGGAAATCTCTTTGAAAATATATATAAAGTATAATAGTGCAAGATGGTGATAAGTTCAACATAAAGACTAACGATGCCTAAAGAATGTAAAATAAAGGAACAATTCAAGGAAAACAAATCTGACATTTATATTTCATAAGGATATTTGCTGTCAGCAGCACGAAGCATGTTTTGCTGGTGTTTTAGTAGATAACTAGAAGCTAATGATGCATGAAGTGCAGCTCCATAAGGAAATCCATCTTCATTGATTTCGAGATAAGGTGAGTGTATTGATGACTCGGACGGGTTACGTGAATCATTCTGCACTCCAAGCATGAAGAAGTAACCAGGCATGACCTCTTGATAGAATGAAAAATCTTCAGCTGCCATGGCTGGTTTCATGGCACTGTCAACTTTATCGATTCCAAGCATATTTACTGCAACATTCACAAAATGCTCATGCAACTTACTATCATTTACGGTTGGAGGATAGCTTGGTTCCTCTTCTTCAAGGAAATCGACAGTCGCATTGCATCTATGCACAGCAGCTTGTCCGACAATAATCTGCATAAGAGAATTGGTTCTAAGGTCTGTGTTTTACCCTCTCTCTCATTCAAACTGAATTGAATGATTTCCATTGCATACCTGTTCAATCCTCTCTCTCAGATGGTTGAAGCTTTGTTTAGAAAAAGCTCGGAAGGTGCCACCAATTGTGACATAATCTGGAATGACATTGAATGCACTACCTCCTTGGAATTTTGCAACTGTCACAACCTGTGGAAACATACGAATGATGATCCTTGGAAACAAAGTTATATCAAACTATCTCTATAAAAAAGAAAAGCTCTAACAAGGTTTCCACATTATGCTAATGAAATATGTGGAAGTATTGTTTTAAATTGCATTGTGATTTAAAATCACACGTCCACCGGTATTAGGAAGCGCATCAGACAATTTCGTCCATGTTTCTTTAAGCGCATCTGAATATTAAATATTTTTCAAGAGTGTATTTTAAACACCTGCCAATCAAAATTCACACCGCAACCACCATAATATGCATCACATCAATCGCAATGACCTCAATTGCAACACCTGCAACCGCAACCACAATTTAAAACCATGGATGGAAGTTTTCCATGAACATGTTTTTTACCATTACTTCCTCTTTCTGATGTTAAAATATTATATGCTATTTCTGTAAGTTCTTTTAATCAATATCATAAATACTTCAATTTACCTGTGAGTCTAAAGGATTAGCTTCACGAGAAACAATGTACTGTAGGCTAACGATCACATTGGAAGCTGCCAATATAGGATCTATAGCCTCATGAGGACTAGCAGCATGACCTCCTTTTCCAATTATTTTCGCTTCAAATCTGCCACTTCCTGCTAGTATTGGACCAGAATTAGAGGCCACTTCTCCTACTGGTAAATCAGGAACAACGTGCAGTCCAAAGATAGCTGTAACATTTTCTAATACTCCAGATTCTACAATTTTCTTAGCTCCTCCTCTTCCTTCCTCTGCAGGTTGGAAAACAAGAACAACTGTTCCCTGAATTAGGAAACACCATAAATAATTTATCAGTTATACATGAGTATGAAGACTACAATAACAAGAAAGGCCACATACTTGTATATCTTTTTCATGCTTTTTGAGAATCTTTGCAGCACCAAGTAGCATAGTAACATGAGCATCATGACCACAAGCATGCATCTTTCCAGCTACTTTACTCTTATGCTCCCACTCCACCTTTTCCTAAGGTTCAAACATCATAAATATAACAGCAAAAAGCAAAATTTGTGAAAAATGAAGTAACTCATGAACCTGAATGGGAAGAGCATCCATATCAGCTCTTAAAGCAACAAAAGGAGGCAATCCAGTTCCTATGGAACCAATGACACCAGTGATTGCAACTGGATGCTTATAAGCTATACCCAATTTATCCAATTCTGATCTTATCAGTTTACTTGTCTCAAATTCTTGATAACCCAGTTCCGGATTCTCGTGAATCTTCCTTCTGATACTGATCATCCAATCAAAGACCTCAGGACTCTTGGCAATGTCTAGAAAATTGTTAAATTTGAATTCGAAGAAAGAAGACATGGTTTGTTTTGGTGTGTGTGGGAGAAAAATTATCTGTTGATAACAAAAAATACTTGTGAATATAAAAATGTCGGTGTTAAAAGAAATACATTATACGAAATACAGCCAACCTTACATAAATTATTCATTACTGCAGGACACAGCCTCATCATGGTCACTATCTACCAACTGTTTTTATTCAAAATTCGAACCTGAGGCGCAAAGTCAATCTCTCTTAAAAGCATATTAATATCATTTGAAATTGGTTAGATGTTGCACAATACTTCCATATCTTTATTGATTTACAGGGGTGATAAATGATGGGAGAAAAATAAACATAATAATTCCTATTTTAAGTAAGTTGTAATTCAATAAAGAGTAAATTTTTAAACTTTCGCACGACAAATATATTATACTTTTTTAGTTTTAAGAGACAGTTTATCTTTTAAATTAATAAATATTTAATATATGTGATCTAAAGAATCGGAAAGAGTAATATATTAAAATAGATTTTAAGACTCTGTTTGATACGATATTTTTTTAATAATAATAAAAGATTTGTTTGCGCATTAGTAGCTTTGTTTCCTTTCCGGACCCTTTCGTCGTCATTGTCTTGCGCCACTTGTATCGATATTTTGGCTAGATATAGAAGAAGTCTCAGATTCGTCAAATTCTTTTGGCTTCCTTTGTCATGTGGGAGACCTGGAAAAAATATGTTTCTCTGCCACCATTGCACATCTCTCTATTTTATAAATCATGGTGACAACAACATCTCTCATCATTCGCATTGTATTGTTTTGTTTATTTGCTCATGTAAACTAGATAAAAGAAGTTTAAAAAATTTGTGTTGTTATACCTTTTTACATTAAATTTCACACTATATTATCAATTCAATCATTATATTAATATTTTAGTGTTAACACTGGACAAAAATACATTTCTCTCTCTCTCTCGAATAAGGTTGGTCAGGATTTAGTGGCCCAACTCAAATTGGAGTTAACAAAAAATAAGAAATGAACGGGTCTAGTCAAGTCCATTAAAACGGGTTCAACGGATTAACTAATTAGGTTTCTCAAAATTTTAATGGGGAATCGAATAACCAATAATGGACTGTGAGTACTTTGACCTGCCTGAAGCTCCAACTTAAAACAACGTTGTTTTGTAACTCTGAAGAAAATAGTGGTAATATTACGGCTCATTTTCATTTTTATCACTCTTTCTTCACCTGGACTCTTCTCACCACGACGAAACTTTTCTCTCAGTCCACCTTCACTACTTACCTTTACTCAACGTTACTCATCATGATGAAGTCTCTCTCTTTCTCTTGCTCTATTCATGAAACCCTAGCAAATATAATTATACTTTGTTTTGTTTCATCTTCCTCTTTCGTGAAATTATGTTCTTAATGTTAGGGGAGATTTTCACTAAACATTGAACATTGTGCGATTTTTTATAGAGCGGTATCGTTATGAGAGACACACCACCATTCTTAGGAGACAGATGTTGGACCAGATGTCTAAACCAACGTGTTCAACATCTTAAAACATAATTGATAAATAAGAAGATAAATCATAAAGTAATAAAAGAACACAAAGAATTGTTAAACCAGAGCAGTGCAAATAAGACCTACATCTGGGGGGGCTTCCAGCCCAAGAAAGAAAATTCACTCTTCAATAGAATTAGTACAAAGTATCTTAGATGAACAACCTCTTGTTCAATGCCTCCTTTCTTAATTATACCGGTGAATTTCTATTTAAGATTCCCCCTAAATATGAGAATCTCTCTACTTTCTCTCAATCACAAACTCTGGTGCACAGCTCAACTTACAAAACAAACTCTATTTCTTTGGATATGAATGCAGACGCTAGAATGATGCACAAACAACAACACAAACAAAGACTCAAAGTATGAACCCGAACACTAAGTTCTTCAATACTTGCACACTTCAAACGTTAGGTTTGAGTCTTCTTAAATGACAATGCAATCTTCTGGACTTTTCTCCAATAAGCATAAGATATAAGATCACGTCCAGATTTGTAGAGGATTTTGTTTTTATTTGATTTTCAACAACCTCTAAAAAGGTTTAATTTGTTTGGATTCAAATTTTAATCTCTATGTAATTTGATTTTATCCTTTTAAAGTGTCAAGAAAATCTAATTAATGCATTACTAAAAAAAACTAAAATATTATAATTGAATCATATTCAGAAAATACACTTAGAACAACATCCATCATGGACTCCTGACAAGAATCAGATCTTGCACACATACAGGAACAGTTAGTCTCTCTCTCTCTCTCTCTCTCTCTCTCTCTCTCTCTCTCTCTCACACACACACACACACACACACACACACACACACACACACACACACACACACACACACACACACACACACACACACACACACACACACACACACACACACACACACACACACACACACACACACACACACACACACACACACACACACACACACACATATATATATATATAGTAGAAAATCTTTAAATTAATAATGTCAGGACCGGAGAAAAGTTTTTAAGTAGTTATACTGTACATACCAAACAAAAAGGCAAATTAGTCTATGCCTCTTAGAATTACGTTGCAGCGAACCTTGGGACTCAACGTAAATTAGTCACTACTGTGTTCATATGCATTGGAAATCAATAATGACTTTTGAAGTGCAGTAATGTAAACAAGAGGAACAAATATGTTCAATGTATTCTTAAGCAAGTTTGCCATATATAAATTACATGAATGTGTTAGAGTATTCAAACCATATCTCACAAAATAGTTTCTCATCTAAAAGGTGTTGCAAAATCAACTATCTCAAATCAAATACGTAAGGAGTTGTGTGAGTACAAGAGAGATAATCCTGCAAGCACACAAAAAGACTTGCAGAGATGACTTGAGGGAAAATTTCAGTTGAAAGTTAGTCAGGGAACAATATCAAACACACTTAAACGGTCAGATGACTAAGTCTCTTCTGAAATAGAAAAGGGAAGAGCATAGATCAAAAGACACAAACCAGCAAAATATCCTGACATGGAGAAGGTTGTTTATGAGTGGTTTCTCCAGCATCAAGAACATGTGAATATCACAAGAGAATTAATTTTGCAGAAGGTAAGAGATACAATGAAACTCGTGTACCCTCATGATGATTCAAATTTTAACTTCTCTATAGGATGACTTGGGAAATTCAAGAACCGACATAGCATAAAGTCATTTCTTCGTTTTGACGAGAGTGAGTCTGCTGATGTACAAGACATGGAGCAGAAATTGGTATCGACTCGGGAGAAAATTGATCAGTTCCCTATGAAAGATGTTTCAATATGGATGAAACTGGATTATTTTATAGGCTACAAGTTGATCATTCACTAGCAACAAAACAACTTGAAGGAAAAAAACAAGATAAAGAAAGGTTGACGGTAGTTATTTGTTGCAATGAAGATGGATCTGAAAAAACCCCTCTATGGATTATTGGGAAATATGCAAAGCCTCATTGCTTCAAGAATGTCAACATGAATAGCTTGGATTGTCAGTATCGAGCTAACAAAAAAGCATGGATGACTAGTGTGTTTTTTGATGAATATGTTCGTTCATTTGACCAAATGATGCATGGTAGAAGAGTTCTATTTGTGGTGGATAATTGTCCAGCACATCCAAGAAATATTGAAGGGCTAAGAAACGTTGAGTTGTTCTTCTTGCCACCCAACATGAAATCAAAGATTCAACCTTGCGATGCTGGGATAATAAGAGCTTTCAATATGCATTTACGTAGAAGGTTTTACCGCAAAATATTGGAAGGTTATGAGGTGGGACAATTTGATCCAGGAAAGATAAATGTCCTAGATGCTATCAATTTGGCAATCTCAGCTTGGACGATAGATGTTCGAAAAGAAACAATAGTGAATTGCTTCCGACACTGTAAAATTTGTTCAGCTAGTGACGTTGCAAGAAATTTGGATGAATCCACTTTTGATGAAGAAACTCAAGACCTCAAGACTATGATCAATCAATGTGGCTATCGTAATAAGATGGATATTGACAATCTAATGAACTACCCAGGTGAAAATGAAGCATGTTTGGAGGTTCAGAGTTTAGAAGATATTGTGGGTACTATCATTGAGAACAATGCAGAGGATGATGGCGAAGATGATACGGTGTCTTTGGAGCCTGTTACGGGAAATGAAACACTTATGGCGTCGAACACTCTTCACAACTTTATGATACAATACAAAAATATAACACCTGAGCTATTAGATGCAATAAGAAAAGTTAGAGATGAGCTCCAAATAGACTTAACTTTAAAGGAAAACACACAACTATTGAATCATATTTCAATAGAGTGTAATATATTTTTCAGTTTCTATAAATTATTAATTTATGGCTTTCTTGGGACCGAATGACTTTCTTAGGACCGAAAATTATAAAGGAATCTCCTAAAAAATTATTATCATATTATTTTATTGAGTTTTTCAATTTTTTACATTGCCCCAAATCGGGACCGGACAAATTTATTATTTTAGAAAATTTATTAATTTACCGAGTATTAATTTAAAGAATTTCTAATATATATATATATATATATATATATATATATATATATATATATATATATATATATATATATATATATATATATATATATATATATATATATATATATATATATATATATATATATATATATATATATAATTCTCCGAATTGCTATCTCTCATCATTATTTATTTGTGATCTTTGAGTCACTAAATATAATTCTCCGAATCGCACAATATTTTAAGGGTATTCAATTGATTTAATTAATGCTTAAAAACTCTGTTTATTTCGAAAATCATTCATGATGAATTGTTTAGAGGAGTAGAATCAGAGATCTAAAAAGTCGCTCAAGCTTACATCAAATATTGTTTGTGGGCCAATCAATCAAAGTTCAGTAGGAAAAATAATTTGTTTCTTCTTTTCATCGATGACTTTTCAAGAAAACATTATACTATTTATAAAAGCAGAAATCAAAAGTCTTTACTATCATCATCAAGTAGTTTAAAACTATTATGGAGAAATAAAGCTCTTAAGAGATCGTTGTTATGTGGACTAACTAAGGAGGTCAATTCACTTCTATCGAGTTTCAAGAATTATGTGAAGGGAATGGAATCATACATTCACTAACAATTCCTAGTTCCCATAACAAGAGGGTGTTGCATACCAAAATAGTAGAACATTTGTTTACATGAATTGAAGCATTCACAAAGAAACTTCTAAAGCAACTTTGGGTTGAAGTAGTGAGATGTGTAGTATATCTATCAAATCCATCCTAAACAATGGAGAAAGACATCAATAGAAGCACGCGGAACTCGTCTCTCTATCCAAAGGGCATACATTTATTGATGTCAAATGTATGTACAAGAAAAATAAGAATATCCAAATGTTCACTAACACTTATATTTCATCATGATATCTTCTCACAACACCAGGTACATCCTGCTGATGTTTTAGAAGATAACTAGCAGCTAATGATGCGTGTAGTGCAGCTCCATATGGGAGTCCATCTTCATTGATTTCGAGATAAGCCGAGTGTAACGACTCAATCCGTTTATGTAGTGAGGCATTCCGCACACCAAGCCAGAACCAGTAACCAGGCATGACCTCTTGATAGAAAGAAAAATCTTCAGCTCCCATGGATGGTGTCACGGCACTATCAATTTTATTGATTCCAAGCATATTTACTGCAACATTCACAAAATGCTCATGCAAGTCACCGTTGTTTATAGTTGGAGGATAGCTAGGTTTCACTTCATCAAGGAAATCTATAGTTGCATTGCATCTATGCACGGCAGCTTGTCCAATAATAATCTGCATAAAAGAACTTGTTTTAAGGTATGTGTTTTACTCTCTCTCATTCAAACTGAATTGAATGATTTCCTTTGCATACCTGTTCAATCCGCTGTCTTAGTTGGTTAAAGCTTTGTTTAGAAAAAGCTCGGTAGGTGCCACCGACTGTGACATAATCTGGAATGACATTGAATGCACTACCTCCATGGAACTTCGCAACTGTCACAACCTGTGGAAACATACATTATATAAGGAATGATGATCCTTGGAAACAAAGTTATATCAAACTATCGCTACAATGGGAAAAATTCTAACAAGTTTTCCACATTATGCTGATGAAACAAGTGGAAGTTTTCCATGAATACTTATATTATACCAGTAGATAAACTCAAATTTACCTGAGAATCTAAAGGATCGGCTTCACGAGAAACAAGGTGTTGTAAGCTAATAACCACATTGGAAGCTGCCAAAATGGGATCTATAGAGTGTTGAGGAATAGCGGCATGACCTCCTTTTCCACTTATTTTTGCTTCAAAGCGGCCACTTCCTGCCAATATTGGACCAGACCTAGACGCCACTTCTCCTACTGGCAGTTCAGGAGCAATATGCAAACCAAAGATAGCAGTAACATTTTCTAATGCTCCAGAATTTACAATTTTCTTAGCCCCTCCATTTCCTTCCTCTGCTGGTTGGAAAACAAGAACAACTGTTCCCTGAATTAGGAAACGCCGTAAATAATTGATCAGTTATACATGAGATGATGAAGACTACAATAACAAGAAAGGTCACATACTTGTATTTCTTTTTCATGCTTTTTGAGAATCTTTGCAGCACCAAGTAGCATAGTAACATGAGCATCATGACCACAAGCATGCATCTTCCCAGCTACTTTACTCTTATGCTCCCACTCCACCATTTCCTAAGGTTCAAACATCATAAGTATAATAGCAAAGCACAAAATTTGAGAAAATGAAGTAATGAATGAACCTGCACAGGAAGAGCATCCATATCAGCTCTTAAAGCAACAAATGGAGAGAGTCCAGTTCCTATGAAACCAATGACACCAGTGATTGCAACTGGATGTTTGTAAGCTATACCCATTTTGTCCAATTCTGATCTTATCAGTTTACTTGTCTCAAATTCTTGATAACCCAATTCAGGATTCTCATGAATCTTCCTTCTAATACTGATCATCCAATCGAAAACCTCAGGACTCTTGGCAATGTCTAGAAAGTTGTCGATTGAGGAATGATCTGTTGATGATGACAAAATGGATGTTGCAGCCAAGACATGCCACATGAGAAAACATTGGAAGCATTTGAGTTTGAAGGAAGAAGAAGACATGGTTTTGTTTTTGTACAATGAGGAGGTCTTTGACTCGTAAACTATGATCCACACATCAATATAAATATCTGAATTTGATAGGTTCAGATTTTCTTAATACATGAAAGACTTTTTTATTTTATTTTTTATATATATATATAAAAGTAAAAGTTCTGAGACATTTAAGGATTACTTTAAGAAATGTATTAATAAAAATAAAATACAATTCCAAATTTTAACTCCAAATATAACATTTAAGAATTACTTTAACAAAATATGTATTAATAAAAATAAAATAAAGTATTATGGAGGACTACAACAAAATCTAAGGTAAGAGAACAAATTTAAAATGTTAGTAACTTATTATTACGGGCGGGTGTGTAATTGGTTATGGGCATGTTAAAAGATCAAATAAATTAAAGAAAATGTGATTATGGCGATGGTGTAATCGGTTATGCATTCGTAATAACTGGTTATCAGTGTTTCTATTTTTAGAATTTTTAGTTACTGTAATTAATTATAGATTTTGTGTAACTGATTACAGATTTTAGAATTGAGTTTTTTCAATTATTTGATGTTGTAACTTGTGTTTCATTCCACTTGTAATTGTTTAAATATATACCTTAGAGGTATTGTTATCAATGTTAATGTGAAAATATTCTCTCTCTCTCTCTCTCTCTCTCTCTCTCTCTCTCTCTCTCTCTCTCTCTCTCTCTCTCGTTACAATTCACTATCTCTCTCGCTCTCTCTCTTTCCACATTCAATTTCTCCATTATTCACTAATCTTATGGTTTCAAGTTCTAACATTTGACATCAAGAGTCTGTTTCTGATCCACAAACACCTAGTGTGCAACATGAATTATGTCTCCAATGAAAGAATCTATGCAAACCTACATATCCTTGATGCAAAGAATTACGACAAATGATGCAAACAAATGAAGGTGTTATTTAGCTACTATGATGTTCTTGAAGTGATCAAGAACGGGGTAAATCCTTTTGTTGAATGTGCAACAGATGCACGACGAGCAACGCATAAGGAAGATAAGAAGAAAGATTTCAAGACATTGTTTTTGATCCATCAATGTATGGATGGTTACAACTTTGAAAAAGTTGGTGATTGTGAATCACTAAAGGAAGCGCGTGAAATCTTAGAGAAGGGCATGCAGAGAGGCTGACAAGGCGAAGGTGGTGAGGTTACAAATTAACACACGTCAGCTTGAATTTATTCAAATGGAAGAGAAGGAAGTCACCAACGATTTCACAACAAAAATCACTCGATTAGTGAATCAAGTGAGGCATGTGGAGAAACAGTCACTGAGCAGTATGTTTTCGCGAAAATCTTGTGTTCTTTAATGCCAAGATATGACAATGTGGTTGTAGCAATTGAAGAATTGAAGGATCTTGCAATGATGAGCAAAGAGGAGCTATAAAGCTCTCTTGAGGCCCATGAGGAAAGGAAGGAGGAAAGAAATAATGATAACGCAAAGGCACAAATCTCTTTGCAAGCTCATTTCAACGAGAAGGAGAAGAAATCTAAAGAAAAATGGTCCATGAAGAATAAAGGGAATTTTCAGAATTTTGGTGGAAGAGAGTCCCAAAATGTCAAGAATTCAACTTGTCAAAGGGGTGAGAGCAACTGCAACAAAAATGGTGGTCACGGAAAATTTAGAGGTGAAAGGAAAAGGATTGACAAAAGCAAGGTGCAATGCTTTAATTGTCATCGGTTCGGTCATTTTGCAATAGAGTGCAATGCAAACAAGAAGGGACCTTAAGGGGATGAAACCAATATTGCAAGGCAAGAGTTTGAAGAAGAGAATACAATGTTGGTAATGATCACATAAGGGGAATGCAATAGTAATAGGTTGCGGGACAACATCAACAACAGTTTTTTGAAACGATGCAGAAACATGTTGTAACTGGTTACGTAAAATCTATAACCAGTTACAGGCAGAAAAAAATGACATGATGAGTACTAGAGGTTCAGTTCATTGCAACAAGGAATGGTATTTGGACTCTGAGTGTTCTACTGATATTAAGGGGAGGAAGGATTAGTTTGTTAAAATTAATTGTGCCATGAAGAACAAAGTAAAGTTTGTGGATGACACCATTCTAGCAAATTCATCGCGTCCTGCTCGGTATCGCACTCGAGCAAGGCCTTAGTATTTATCAGCCTCTTTTGCGTTTTGATGCTCCCATCGGCGTTCAGAACATATCTGCCGTTCGGCCTTACGATCTTGTACGGAGGCAAACCCCTGACGAATTTGACCACCTTCAGATAGGCAGCCGCATCCTCGGGGTCGAGCGTCCCCGCCCGAAAGATGTATTGGTCGGTTCCCCCGAGATAGTGCTCGTGGGTCCATTCCACGTGTATCTTGGGCAACATCACAGCCTCAAGCCGACCTTCCACCATTTGCTCCCCTTCATAATACAAAGAGTCGACTGTGGCATGGGTTATCGGGCTAACGACATAATAGCGCCCCTTGAAATCCCGGATTGAGTCCATGTACGTCTTAAAGAGCTTCTCGGACTGTTTAAACGACACCCAACCCTGTCTCCCGTCAACGGCATGCTGTTGAAGATTAAAAAGACGGAAAAAGAGTGGCAACGTGGCCCCGACTTCAAGAAATTTGCAGACGGTCTCGAAGGCCGTGTTGAAGGCCAAGGCGTTCGGATGCAGCTGCGAGGGCGCCAACCGTAGATGGTCGAAGATGGCCAGATGGAAGTCGGAGAACGACAGGCTTAACCGGGCCTCCTTGAAGTAAAATTCATACATAGGAAAGCGCATCCTCCCGAACTTCGTGCAAATGCGCTGACGCTCCTTTTGGTGGTATACCTGCCAATTTTGAGGCTCACCCCCGTCCCTGTACTCTACAGTAGCGTACGCCCCCGCCGGGTCGGTGGCGAAGACGGACGACGTAGAAAGGGGCTCCTCGGCCACCCAGTCAACTATCAGTGGGGCCCTCCCGTCAAAAATAGGCATATCTGGTTCGTCGTCCTCGACCATAGTCCCCGGGATAAAGGGCGGCATGAACACCTGAAAAGCAGAAGATAACAGTGAATTCGATGGCCGAGATCAAATTCACCCTTCCACCCCTAATCAAGTGAAAGGGCGACGGGGACGATCCGATCAAATGTCCCCGAGGAACAGCCCCATACAAACCGTCGCCGGTCCACCCCAAATGAACGCTCTAAAACACGCTCATCCCCGGAACACTCGGGCGACCTGTGGACCTGTTCCCGGGACATTCACCAACCTAAGGGTTTACCCCCGAGACATTCATCTAAACCAAGGGACTGTCCCCAGGGCATTCATCTACCTTAAAGATTCGTCCCCAGGCTATTCATCTAAACCTAAGCATCGCTCCCCGGGGTATTCATCGGAATAGTCACCCGTCCCCGGGACATTCATCTAAAAAGGGCCAAAACCTCCGCCTGACGCGGCGGACGACCACGTCCTCCCCGGGATGTTCAAACAGATCCTAGAAAAGCATAAAGAAGAAAGGACAGAGGCTTACTTGATCAACGAAAAGTGAGGAATTCGCGGCGGAACACGGCGGAGACGGCGGACACAGCGGCGGTGGAACTGGACAAGCGATAATCCTCGACTAAGAGAAAGTGAAGCGAAAAGTAAGAATGAACGGGGAACCCGCTTTTTATACTCCAGCTCGGGACTCGAAGCGTCACTAGGCACTCGAGTACCCTAGAGTAGCCACCCTACGGGCCAACCTCTGTGTGACACGTGGCGAAGACTGACAGTCGCGTCGTTTCATTCCTTTCCCATGACATGTGTTCCTCGCGTCGCCGACATCTCGACTTCATTGCCGCAACCCGGATCCGCGACCTTTCCCAACGGGACGACCTTAAGTCATCACTCCTCCAAAACGGAGCCACGACTTGGGGGGCTCCTGTTCTGGACTGGGCCCCCGGCCAGCCGGTCAAGCCCAATCACTTCCAAGGCCCAAAGACGTCCTGGGCAAACCCATGAAACACACGAGCTGTGGTGGGTTCACCGGGCACGTACTGCACGATATGATGCCCGCTTCACCCGGCTCTCAGGCCGGGCACGGTCAGGAGTTGAGGGCACAAGCGCCTGCCTGGTACATACGCAGGCCGAGCACGCCTCTCTACTTATGAGATACACCACGAACAGGATCTCCTCGACCGAGGAGATCGCGGGCACGACCTGGTCTCCACGTGCTTCCCCTTTTTGCGGAAACACGTCATAACCCAACCGCCCACTCCCGAAAGACCAGGCGTACTTTCCGGAGACCGTGGAACGGTTGGACTAGGGCAAAGACCACACCATGGTATTCTTGATGCCACATCAGCCCTAGCAGCCTTTTAGGTTGGGCCTGCACGTCTAACCCAAAAGACCGTTGGCCCAGCGCTGGGGTCTATAAATACCCTCTTCCTCAAGAGGGTCAGATAGTCACTTCTTACCCTCTGTACTTGCACTTGCTCTGTCCAAATATATGACTTTGGCATAGGAGTTCCTTGCAGGTACACCCCCCACCTTTCTCCTTAACATCGCCGAACAGGTACCAGCCCAACAGGACGGGACCAAGACTGTGACCATCCTTCTGATCAGGTCAGATCAATAGGTTCAGATTTCCTTAATACATGGAAGACTTTTTTTTTAAATATATATAAAAGTAAAAGTTCTGAGACATTTAAGGATTACTTTAAGAAATGTATTAATAAAAATAAAATACAACTCCAAATTTTAACTCCAAATATAACATTTAAGAATTACTTTAAGAAAATATGTATTAATAAAAATAAAATAAAGTATTATGGAGGACTACAACAAAATCTAAGGTAAGATAACAAATTTAAAATGTTAGTAACTTATTATTACGGGTGTGTAATTGGTTATGGGCATGTTAAAAAATCAAATAAATTAAAGAAAATGTGAATATGGCGATGGTGTAATCGGTTATGCATTCGCAATAACTGGTTATCAGTGTTTCTATTTTTAGAATTTTTAGCTACTGTAATTAATTACAGATTTGTGTAACTGG